AGAGGAACTTGACGAGTCACATAGATGCACTCGACGAGTTGGGTACGAGGCATACTTGCTTTACTTACATTGTTAATTAGAGATGATTATGATACATTATTAATTAGAGATGATTATGATATATATAGGCGGAGTCTAGACCGACCGTTGAGTACGAGACATACTTGCTTTACTTACGAGGTGAGTCTACTATACTTACCTGAGTGGTAATATTGTGTGACCGGAGGGTCTTATGTGCTTACACTGAGTTATGTGATATATTATGCATTCTGTATTAGTGATTTATGTTGTATATTACTCTGTGCCTTATTGAGTTAGGACCAGAGGGTCCAAACCGAGTTGTGAGACCGAAGGGTCTTCATTGAGATACCGGACTGGAGGGTCCAACTCAAGCTGTGAGACCAGAGGGTCTTCACTGAGACACATGACCAGGGGGGTCATTATCGAGTATAGCCATGAGATGCTAATTATTTGTGTGTGGTATTTTGGGGAACTCACTAAGCTTCGTGCTTACAATGTTGTGTGAAATGTGTTTTAGGTACCTCTCAGGATCGCGGGAAGGCGCCGACATGATTATACACACCAGCTAGAGATTATGTTTTAAAGATCCTGGGATATTGTTAAACAATTTTATTTATTTATTTTTGTTGAGAACAACATATCAAATTGGGTTTTGAAATGTTAACTTTGTTTTTCTGTGAATTTAAAAATAAAAAATTATTTGAAATTTTAGTGTTACAAGTTGGTATCAGAGCATTGGTTTGAGGGATTTGGATATACCCTCGGGTATGTCTGGACTCAAACTGAGGATTTGAGGAATTTTTCTAAATAGAAATGATTTTCTTAACGAGTAAAAGTTCTTAAGAGAAAACGAGATGAAGTAGTGTGTGCAATCAGCCAGAGCCCGAACGATGATTTTCCCAAAATACCCTTATTTGTTTATATTATGAGATGAGATACTTATAAGATATTAGAGCCGCATGCTAGATGACAGGCTAGGTATTTCAGGAATTTAGAGCTAGAGTTGCCTAATTCATGATGCTTAGCCTAGGAGGATGGCATTGATTGATATTATCTGCTATTTGCTGTGTGTGTGTGCTGAGTAGGGGTACATAGCAGGAATCGTTTAGAGAGAGTTTTTAGTTGATGAGTAATCTAGGAGAGATACCTAGATGAACATTTGAGGAATCTACTGAGAGAGTAGTTTGATATCCGTGAGAGATATAGTACTTGTGAATTAGGATCCTAGGAGGAGGACTTGGGGCGACTATGGGTTGGTGTGGAAGGTAGTATTGAGCTCGTACTACTGAAAGCACTAGATCTGTATGCGACCTAAGTAAGAATGTCACAACTGTAAATTTTGAGCCATGTAATCTATGCATTCAACCTAATGTGACTCAAAAACTTCAATCAAATACAAGATACGAGTACTACAAGTAGTCATCAAACAATTGGAGACCCTAGAAGTTCTTGTTAAGTCCATTTTGGACTAGGACTTCCTTATTGGATCCAAATGGACCAATAAGCTTCCAATTGGACTATCATGGGCTTAGAACCCTAATTGGGCTCTAATTGGACCCACATTCTTTTATTTCAATATTTTGGGCTAGGTTGAACCTAGAATGAAATAAATCACAAGCTTTGATCCATAATTTAACCTAACCTAGCCTATTAAAGCATAAAAATCACAATTTTATTTTATAAGGCTAATAAGCACCCAAAACTAACTCTAATTTTGGGCTTAAGGGGAAAAAGCCCAAATTTTTCTTTTCCCTTTCAAATTCTCGGCCCAAGGCCCAAGCCCAAGGATAAATGGAAGAGTTGACTATTTGCTTGCCACCTCATTATTACCCAACATGTTTCCATGCACCTTAGTCCATATCTCCATGCATATCACTTCAAAAGTCATTTCTTCTTCTCTTCTCTCTCACTCTCGGCCATACACCCACACACACACACAAAAATCTCTCAAATTCTCTCTAGATCACTCAAGAACTCTCCTTCCTCCCCTCTCCAAAATCTCAAAAATTAGGAAGCATTCAAGAAGGTTTTTCCACAAAATTCTTCATCTAAGGTAAGATTATGCATAGATCTATGGTTTAAATTCTTTTGTTATCAAAATCCTTTCCTAATCTATGCAAAAATCGTGATCTTGCATCCTAGAACCATCTCAAAACTCGAGATCTTCATCAAAGGGAGCTAAGGCCAAAAACACTTCATTTTCCTTCCATTTTTCCTTGCAAAACCGAATCAACACCCTAAGGTGAGCTTCATACCCCCTATTTTCTGTTTTTATGAGTTTTGTGGGGGGGGGGGGGAATACAAGTGAAAGTGTAGATCTATATGTGTTTTGTATGCCTTGTATGATTTCCATGCTTATATGTATGCTTTTATGTGTTTTTATGTTGGATCTAGCATTAAAACCCATCAAAACCGAGATATATCTTGTGTTAAATGATTTTAGCTTCCAATATGTTTCTAAACACAAAGTGCTTCAAGAAAAATGGCTAAGTGGTTTAGTAATAATTTTCTTTGAGTTAAAAACACAAATTTTGGGCCTAAAATGTGAAAAATGCAAAAATAAAAGCCCAAATTGACATTTCACAGATTCTGATGGATGAAGTGTGCCAAAACAGTTTTCATAAATAAAATTCTGGAAATATACTCATTTAGGGGACTAAAATCATAAATTTCAAGCTTAATGGGCTAAAAATGAAAATTTCGGCTCAATAAGGCCCATTATGCGAATTTTTCTGTTTTGGAGGGCCAAAACTGTAACTTTCTGTAAAACAGTGGACTATAAGTGTTCCAACTCCTTTTCAAAGGTTTAAAATGCTTTTTAAATTTAAAAAGGACCAAAGTTGCAAAAATTTTCCAAATTGGGCCAAAATTGTCAAAGTTGCGAAAAGAAGGGATTAAAACCGAGAAAACTGCATTTTCGAGGACTTAAACTGTTTTTATGAAAAATATGTTGAAAAATATTAATTTCAATAATTTTTGGTGTTACAATGTCAAGAAAAATAGTTTAAGGACTAAACCGGGAAGTATTTAATATAAAGGGTTGAAAATGTAAATTTCACAAATGATGAGGGGCTGAAAACAGGAATATTTCAAGGCTAGTTCAATGTACACAATTTGATCAAATAATGGCACCGCGACTATTAACGAAATACAATACATTACAATACCAAAAGTCGTTGTTAAACGAATTGGCTCGGTCTCGAGCCAATAGAAACCTACGACTACTAACACTACGACACTACGATTCATACAAGTAACGTTTGGTTATACATATACATGCGAGTGTGCACAGACGTCTATGCACCATCTTTGGGCCCCACAAGTGTAAAATCTTGTTCGTTGAGCCTAGCTAGCCCAATGACCTGATCTTAAGGCCCGAAGACATTTTTTTTTTACGGTGTGTTGGGTTTTACCGATCCGACACAACGTAAATGGACTTTCAATGGCTTGTATACCACCGGTCCCCAAGGGTCCTTTGGTCTTGCTAGTAAGGTCTACATTTCATGCGAGGCGGGTCGGGGACCCCTCGTACATTTTATCCCCAACCGGCTAATGGAGTTACCGGGGTCTTCGTGACCTCTTTCTCTTCGGATGTGGGACTACACCTAGTCAGGGCGATTGGATAACGCGATTAGTACTAACGACGCCTTCGGAGTCGTTAGTATAACTATAAACTGGGCGTTTGTGTAACGCGGGTTTGTAGTAAATAATCCTGCTCGAAAACCTTCCAACGTCGCCTGGGACTGACACTATACGCTATGCAATGGTTTCAATGTAACATCACGCAACTTTAAGGAACTAGGAGAACATCGGGTTTTCCTAGGGTTTTCAATACTTACAAATTTGACATGCATACATTTTAAACGAACACTTTTTTTACAAGTATAGAAACAAACAAGCATACCTATGGATCTTCACAAATGTCTTCAAAAAGCTTATCTTTTCAGAAAATATCGGATTTTCTGGTGGTTTTTCAAACAATACAAACATTCGATTTCAAACACTACTTATGAACTCACCAACATTTCATATGTTGACGTTTTTCAAAATACTTGTATTCTCAGGGAACCAGTGAATCAAGGGAAATCATATTCAGTGACGGTTGCAGTTTATTTTTGTATGGATTGAACAAATTAATTTTTGGGAAATGTAATGTTTAAACAATGTATGATATGTAAACACTACTGGTTGTACTATGTTGATGAATGGTAACGAATGTTGTTATGTTTCATATATATTCAATGTTATGGTATTCAATTGAGTCACGGCAAGCCCCCGGACGTTTCCGCCGTCTGGTTCGGGGGTGTGACAAAGAACCTTAGGATGCTAAGGAATATGTAGGGGTGGGTAATTGAGTGTGCGCTTGAGCCAGTCCCTAATAGCGACCCTCATCCTCTCTTTTTCTTCTTGCTAAAATGGTAACAAGGATCGGATAACGACCCCCCTAGCGAGCATTAGGGGGCCGTGTTCATGGCTTGTTACGAGTGGGCTTAACATCCCCACTTCGCTTAGCCGTAGGGTGAAGAGATACAAATAGGTAGAGTCTATTAATTTTTTTAAATATATAAAAAATAAATATATAAATAAGACATTTAATTTATAAATTAATTAATAAGAGCACAATAATCTTTTTAGGTAAGACAGAGATCAAGTACGCAACAAAAATAAATAGTAGTGACCATTCGAGTTAAAAAATAAGTTAGGAACAAAACGCACAAATTATTCCAAACTACAGGGACAATTCGTATAATATACTCGTATCTTTTCGGTTTGTTTACATCTAACTATTCTTTTTACACATCTAAGTAACAAACTTTTTGAAAGTGTTTACATATGATTATTATGACCAGATGTAACATTTTGTTCTATATATATATATATATATATATATATATATATATATATATATATATATATATATATATATATATATATATATATATATTTATCCAGATGTAAACAACTCAATTAAAAAAAACCTTGAAACAAGTCAATTAAAAAAAACCTTGAAAATTTTCCTCAAGTTTGGTCGTTGCATTTTGCATATTGCACCTACACAAACAAACACACTTCATTTTGTATGTTCAAAACCGCACCCTCTTTGACACTCCCGATTCACAGATGTGCTGTTACGCGACTTGATCTCTATTTCCATTACTCTCCATACCCTAGCACTCACAAAATCTCTCAATTCGGACGGAGATTCGGCGTGCCTTGCTCTCTGTTCGGGTTGTCTGATCGGATCTCTCACTCGGAGCTTAGGGTTCTGTTGTCAGTCATTGATTTATCGATCAAGGCGCTTAATTTAATCTGTAGCAATGGTGAGTCTACAATTCTACTTGATTCGCATTTTTGCTGATTTTGTTTTGGATCCGGTTGATCTAATTCCGTTTGATTGATCATTGATTAAATCACATTAGAGATTAACTTTGGCGTTTGTATGATCTATTTGACATTTTATTAACGAACTATTGGGATCTGGTGTACTAACTGAAACTTCATTTCCTTTTGTTTGTGTTTCACTTTGGAACAGCCTCTCAGACTCGAGATCAAGGTACTGCTGATATTCATTTGGAATTGACTCATTGTCGTTATTGTTATTAAGTAAAGACTTGTCTTCATTAGTCGTGCTAATTATGAGTATTTTTGACAGAGGAAACTCGCTCAAAGATCAGAAAGAGTAAAATCCGTGGATCTGCACCCAACGGAGCCATGGTAATTATACTTGCGCATTATAAATGAACTCTTTTTGGTGACTTGTGTATTTTTATTTTGACTCTGATAGAAATTGCTAGGAGTTTATTTGTAGTATAACTGAATCCCAAGCTTTAGTAGCTAAGTCATAGGGAAGTTTGTTGTTGAGCAAATACTAGACATTTATACATCAATAGTCATGGTTCTTTTGTTTTTTTACAGGATCTTAGCAAGTTTGTATTCGGGGACAGTCTGCATCTGGAATTACCAGACCCAGGTATGAGACTAATTTAACAAGTTTTAGGAAGTGTAATTAAAATGGTTGATATTTTCTAATGGGATTCTGTTGGCATCTAAAGTCAACATCCATGCATGTTTTCCTTGATGTATATTCCTTCTCAGTGTAGTATAAATGCAGTAAAATTCAACAGAGAAACACAAAATTCAGGTTATTTCTCTTATTAGAATAGTTGTCATTGCCTCTTGTGAAGGGATTTATTTCTGTTGCGATGCAATGCAGTCGACTTATTGGCTATAGAAAAATAACTACAAAGAACATATAATTTTTAACAATTTACTAGTAGCATTTTAAATTACTGCACTAAATAAATGCCCTGCAGAAAACTACCAGGATATAAATGTCATTTTACTTTGTGCAACTTAGTTATATAGTAGAGAAGGTAGCTGAATAGCTGATCACTGCTGATGCCACCAATTATTTACGAGGCATAGAATAGTATAATAAGAAATTGTTTGTATAGTTATCAAGAAGGAAATAAACATCATAAATGTTGTAAGATGTTAAAACTTTTGTCACTTCATTGATTGGCAAGTAGATAACTGTCTTGAATGGAGCTAAAGAACAAAGCTTACATAAGAAAGTAGAACATGTTCACTTCTTGCAGTGTTCCTTTTAATTATAAAGTGAACACTATTGAATACCATAAGGTTAAACGACAACAAGGAACTATTGTAAAGAGCATTAGTGGTTAGATATATAGCAAGATCTGGAGTAAGTATCAATCCACCTTTTCATTTACATTTGTAGGTAACATCAGCTGTTATATTCTTATGAAAGAAATTCAATCAATTACCAACACAACTCTCATATTCTTAATTGCAGATTATGGTAAAATCATTTGAGGTTACTGAATTACCAGGTTTGTTATTATAGTCTGTTATTGTACCCTTTTATCTGATTGGAATTTAAATTTTATATCTGATGCTTACACAACACATATGCAGTCAGATCAGCAAAGTTCATAGCACGCAAGCAATGGGTTGTTGCTGGTGCAGATGATATGTTTATTCGTGTATACAATTATAATACAATGGACAAAGTCAAAGTCTTTGAGGCACATACTGATTACATCCGGTGTGTGGCTGTGCACCCTACACTACCCTATGTATTATCATCATCTGATGACATGCTTATAAAGCTTTGGGATTGGGAGAAAAGTTGGTTTTGTACTCAAATCTTTGAGGGTCATTCTCATTATGTTATGCAAATCACTATTAACCCTAAAGACACCAATACTTTTGCAAGTGCATCACTTGATCGCACTATAAAGGTAATCTTAGTTAGAACATGCTTACTAGAAACTGATACCCTTCATTTTAACATTATCTTTTTTAATTTTAGATTTGGAATCTTGGTTCACCTGATCCTAACTTCACACTGGATGCACATCTCAAAGGAGTGAACTGTGTGGATTACTTTACTGGTGGTGATAAACCCTATCTTATTACTGGATCAGATGATCACACTGCTAAGGTTTGTCCCCCTTTTTTTTTTTTTGGCTATGTGTACAAATGTGTCTACAATTTGCATTTTATGTTATGTATAAATTGAAACAGGTATGGGATTATCAAACTAAAACTTGTGTCCAAACTCTAGAAGGTCACACACACAATGTTTCTGCTGTATGTTTCCATCCCGAGCTTCCGATAATAATGACAGGTTCAGAAGATGGTACTGTTCGTATATGGCATTCAACCACTTACAGGTGGGCTCTTGTTTTTGACCTTTAAGGGCGTGTTTGGTTTGTAGATTCTGAAGGATTTGGAATTCAATTTCTTTCTTCATTTCCTATCAAAAGACCATAATACCCTTGTTATACATATGCTAAAAAATGTAAACTTTTTGACTTTATGCCACTCTTTTTTTTCATGCAGACTTGAGAACACCTTGAACTATGGACTTGAAAGGGTTTGGGCTGTTGGATACATGAAAGGTTCACGTCGGTAAGTTTGTATAGCACTTTTTGTTTTTTGTTTTGTGGGTCTTGATGCTTCTTCATTTATCTGGAATTATTTTAATTACTGTTTTTGCAGGATTGTTATTGGCTATGATGAAGGAACCATAATGGTGAAAATTGGACGTGAAGAGCCTGTAGCCAGCATGGACAATAGTGGAAAAATTATATGGGCTAAACATAATGAAATTCAAACTGTTAACATCAAGAGTGTGGGAGCTGATCATGAGGTTTGGATTTTAAACCCCATATACATGTTATGTTATGTCAACAATGAAATGGAAAATAAAAATCTATTTTTTATTCAGGTTTCTGATGGAGAGAGGCTGCCTTTAGCAGTTAAAGAACTGGGAACATGTGATCTTTATCCACAAGTAAGTTATGCTTGTTCCTACCTTCCTTTGACCTGAAAATAGTCAACCATATGGACTTTGACTTTTTCTATTTTTCCACAGAGCTTGAAGCACAACCCAAATGGGAGGTTTGTTGTTGTCTGTGGTGATGGTGAATACATCATATATACAGCTTTGGCATGGAGAAATAGATCATTTGGGTCTGCATTAGAGATTGTTTGGTCATCTGATGGTGAATATGCTGTTAGGGAAAGTACATCTAAGATCAAGATCTTCAACAAATCTTTTCAGGTTCTCCCATAACATTCCAAAGGGTACATCCGTCATTTACTAATCTACTCAAAGATTTATGTTTCGGGTGTTTAAATTAACCAGGAAAAGAAAAGCATCCGGCCAACTTTTTCAGCTGAGAAAATATTCGGAGGATCTTTACTTGCAATGTGTTCAAATGATTTTATATGTTTCTATGATTGGGCTGAGTGTAGATTGATTCAACGAATTGATGTCAATGTCAAAGTAAACACTAGTTACACTATTAACCTTGGATTTAAATTATCTATTTCTTTTATTATCATGTCTTATGATATCTTTTTTGAGTTTTTTCAGAATCTTTACTGGGCAGATAGTGGTGACCTTGTGACAATTGCCAGTGATTCGATGTTTCACATACTAAAGTACAATGTAAGATCTTATTTTTTCTATTTTTTTTTCTTTCGAAAGAAAATGTAAAATGAAAATTTATTTATATTGCAGCGTGATGTAGTGTCTGCACATTTTGATAGTGGAAGATCTGTAGATGAACAAGGTGTTGAGGATTCCTTTGAACCTTTGTATGATATAAATGAAAGAGTTAGAACTGGATTATGGGTTGGGGACTGTTTTATTTACAATAATTCTTCATGGAGACTCAATTATTGCGTGGGTGGCGAGGTATATTCCTTACATCATTACTACTTGTTATAAAAAATTTAGGGTAAATAAACTACATATTTCGTCCCTGTGGTTTTATGAAATTACGGTTTGGGTCCCTCACTTGAGTTTTTAATCTTTTTCGTCCCTAAAGAAGACTTTGAAACACCTTTCGTCCACCCTTCTAACTTCTCTTGTAAATCTTATATAAAATGGCATTAATACCGTTTCTTTTAGCATTTATTTGAATTATAATTGTAAATTAACAAAAATAATTACAAAACATGTAAAACAGAGGGGAGGGGAGGGGGTTTCTATTTAGGGTTTTGATTTTTAGATCTATTGTCGTAATTAGATAAAAAAAAATGTAAAACAGAGGGAAACATGGTCGTTTAAATTGATTTAACACCCTATTAACGTTACAAAAATTATTTTTAGGGATGAAAATGGTTAAAAGTTGAAGTTAGGGACCCAATCTGTAATTTTCATAAGTGCACAGGGACAAAAATATTTTGTTTACCAAAGAGTTTCCTCACTTGGGTTTTTTATTTTAATATTATGAATTGTTACATAGTTTTAAATAAATTTTCAGGTAACCACAATGTTTCATTTGGATCGACCAATGTATCTTTTAGGATATTTAGCCAACCAAAGCAGGGTTTATCTCATTGACAAAGAATTTAAGTGAGTGTCTTTTACAGATTTTAAATTAAACATCATTATTTTAAAGTTCTAATTTTGATTATTAATTTATTATAATTATTACATTGTAGTGTCATTGGATACACATTGCTTCTCACCTTGATCGAGTATAAAACACTTGTGATGCGTGGAGACCTTGAACGAGCTAGTGACCTTTTACCATCAATTCCGCAGGACCATCATAACAGGTAGACCTCAGATACACCTGATCTAATCCCTTGTATAAATAATTCATGGATTTTAATCAAATATATATTGTTTATTTCACAGTGTTGCCCGTTTTCTGGAATCTCGAGGCATGATTGAAGAGGCTTTGGAAGTTGCTACAGAGCCTGATTATAGATTTGAGCTTGCCATTCAGCTTGGTAAACTAGACATTGCTAAGGTAACAGCAATCAACTTTTGCAAACAAAAGATAAATTTTTTATACTTTTTATATAAAATAAATTCTATTTTATACAGGATATTGCGTTAGTAGCTCAGAGTGAGTCAAAATGGAAGCAATTGGGAGAACTAGCTATGTCTACTGGAATGGTATAAATTATTCGATTTTTTTTCTTTTCTTTTTATAAATATTTATATCTGTTCGAAATGATTAAAATATTTGTGATATTGCAGTTGGACATGGCTGAAGACTGTTTGAAGCATGCAAATGATTTAAGTGGTTTATTACTACTCTATTCTTCTTTAGGAGATGCTGAAGAGATTACAAAACTTGCATCACTTGCAAAAGAAAACGGAAAAAACAATGTTGCATTCGCTTGTCTATTTATGTTGGGTAAATTAGAAGACTGCCTACAGTTGTTAATTGACAGGTTTACCCTCATGTTTCAGTTTCATACATAAATAAATCCTGTTCAAAAAACATTTCTAAAAAAACACTCTCCTTTAACAGCAATAGGATACCTGAAGCAGCTTTAATGGCACGATCTTACCTTCCAAGCAAAGTTTCAGAAGTAGTCGCCCTTTGGAGAAAAGACCTTAACAAGGTTAATACTTGATTAATAATTTATAAAGTCTTTTGTCCTTTTTTGTCATTTTACACAATATAACATGATTTAATCACATTCGCAGGTTAACCAGAAGGCTGCAGAATCTTTAGCGGATCCAGACGAGTACCCAAACATGTTTGAGGACTGGCAAGTTGCACTACAAGTTGAAGCAAGAAGCGCAGACACAAGGTTAGATTCGTCATTTTTTGATAAAATAATTTGTGAGATAAACAAAAAACTAATACATATTTTTTTCTTCCAATTATTGTATAGGGGTAGTTATCCTCCAGCAACAGAATATGTGAATTATGTTGATAGATCGCATGTGAACCTAGTTGATGCTTTCAAACACATGCAACTGGATGTTCATGAAAATGGAGAGTTGGATCAAGGGGTACATTTTTGACTTGGTATTTATATTTTATTTTCTGTTTTAATATTTATATGTATTTGTATTTTTATTGACACAGGATGTAGAAGAAGAGAATGAAAAGGAGGAGGAATTTGTTGGTAATAAGGATAAGGATAATGATTCTTCAGATGGTGGTGTACTTGTTAATGGTCATGAAGCTGAGGCTGAGGTTGATGAAGAGTGGGTTACAGATAATGCAGGAAACCCATCAGCAGCTTAAAAGCAATTTGTGAAAATTCTAATCTTATTTTCTGGTGATCTGTTATTCTATTTTATTTTTTAATTTTCACATTATATGGAGGGGGTCTAATTTTTCAACTTC